GGACTAATTCACTACCTAGCCTTGGTATATTGGTGCCACTCTGTAATTAATAACTTTTGAGTGTTTATTATAAAATGTAGCTTATTTTTGTTTAATTCAATGCATCAATACCTAAATACATAAACATTACAATAACTGTAATAATTAGGATAGCAAAACTAGAAACATTATTGCATTTCCGCTTTAACTAAAATCAGTAACATAATGTTGCACGTTTTATTCCAAAGTCTGGTGGAAAAGCATGCTAGTGTGAAGCTGGAATATCACCCCTGAAGGATATGAAAGTCTATATTTTGAGTCTCAAGTTTCTTCAGCCGGTCGTGGAAGACAGACACGCCGAACCGATTCTTTTAGACGTCTCTTCCCATTTAAATGAATACTATTTGGTGAAAACTGCCAACAGTTTGCCCAACACAACACACATGCCTCCGCTGGAGAATCGTTTGCCACAAAGTCAATGACGGCAAATGATATAATCATCTGAAATGCTGATTAAATCATTAATGAGGATGATTTTTCACTGAACTACATTTTAAACCAAAATGGCCTGCACTGTACTGAATTTTAATCTGCATTGGAGAACACTGTATTTCAACATCAGCTGATATCACTCTGAAGATGAACTGGACCTGTTCTAATGCAAGTTGTGTGAGTTTCAGAACAACCATAACTGACCTGGTGTTTCACTTGTGGCCAGAATGAAATGTAGTCGTGTATGTCTAAACACAGGGGCACTCATACACTTAATGGCATTTAACCGAGCAGATACAGTTTTGGTTGGTGACCAGGTGCTTGTTCAGAGTTGAAGGGTGTGTTCAGCATTTACATACCTCAATGTATAGTTGCTACCACGCTAAAACACAAACTGACCCCCTGAGGACCGTCACACTGACAGAAAGCAGTTGTCATACAGGATGTATGATTGTTTCGGAATCCTACACACCACGGGTGAGCCGATCTAGAATATCGAAACCCACCGGCCTCCATGAGACCCTGACACCCCGAGCTGACTGTAAATCACCTGGCTATGTATTGATCCGACAGCAGCTAGCATGTTTAGCTTTCATCTGTCAATCTTTCCAACTGAAAAAAAAAACGTATTTATTTGGGATTTAAGCACATGCAATTTAAACACGCAGTCAAAACGTAATTATTTACACCGACTTTACAGCAACGTAAGAGGGCAGCTAAGAAGCTAACGGGTTTCCGCCATTGTTTTTGATTATCGGGACGGGGGATGGGTGGAACTGCAGCTACTACCAAGCTAAGCAGGTTAGCCTGCTGCAGTGCTAAAATGACGTTAATCTACTGTCATGCTAACAAAGCTACAAGGGAATACTTCTATTCCAGTAGGTTAAACGTTTACATTTACTATATATACTTTTTGTTTTATGGGTTACATTTGACACCGAGCAAAAAAGAATCGGGAAATGATATGCTTCAGTTGAGCTAGCATGCCCCCAGCGGGCCTAGCTCACCCAGCGGAGGCTTTTCTGACATGTTTAACAAGCAGCGCGGTCTGCTGGGGTAACGAAACCAAAAACCCAAACGTGGAGACCTCCACGGCGATGCCAGCCGTCTCCACTGGGTCATAAGTGAAGGCCCCGACCGGGTTCAGGCACCAGAGTTCCCCGATGAGTGGGAATTAGAAACGACGTCACAGCGGAGTGGAGAGGCGAACGCTGGCCGTGAACGCAGCAGCGTTGGCGGCGGCATCGCAGACTCCCGTCAGCGGCACAACTTTTACCTCCAAATCTCGGCCCTTATTCTTGAAATTCTTCAGCCGCTGGTTGTCCAGTTTCTCGTTGTCAGCCATGTTAGCGCTTTTGGGTAACGTTGGGTAGAGTTAGGCTCTTGAATTTAGCTGGTGAGCTACCCCCTTTTCTGGTTCTCTTTTCGTAATCTTTCGCTAGCCGACTATTTTCTACTGCTGCCGTCCGCGGTGCATACTGGGAATGCCGGGTGGTGGAGGGCAGCCTCGCTCTGGCGTAGAGGAAGGGTGGGGAAATCCCCCTCACTCTCATTGGTCCGTCCGCTCACGTCTGGGTGGTGGGAGCGCCACACCTTACTCACTCAGGCAATGCCCACGCAGTCATATCCATTAATACATAAATATATAAAATTACATTTAAACATCCAATCAAATTGGAATAAAATTAAAAAGTACATTTGTTTTAGTTGCTCAAAAGTGAAAGTTACATGGAATTTGTCCAAATCTTTGGACAAAATTTTACAATCTACTGACATCATAAGGACACATTAACACTAAATTATATATTGTGCTAAATCTAACCACCAACTCAATAAAAAAATCTGCAAACGTATGTACTTTAATCTTTATTGATCGATGTAGCTGCTATACAAAAGTTGGGTTACAAACAAAGCATTTCCTCGGCGTAAACAACAACTGATGTTTTTAATCACAGTTTTTCCTCAAATCAGATAATCCACAAAATTCTTGTTTTATATTCCACAGCTGAAGACATTGTGGCTGCACCACAATGAGATGTTGGTCCTAAAGTCCATCACCATTTCCACACGACACGCACAGTAAAGCAATTAGAAACCTAAATCATTTTGTTATAAAAAAAACAAAAAAAGGCATAAAAACCATCAGCCGCCGCAGACCATAGCTTCTTTGATTACTGTGAAACTAAATCCTTTGGACCTTATCTTCACCTTAATGTCCTCTTGAGTCTGTCTCAGTGGGTTTTTCATGAGATAGAGCATCCTTCTGAAACCTTCTTCGAGACCCACTCCCACGGTGGCTGAGCAGGGCTGGATGAACCATGCTCTGCCTTCGCACACTCTCCTCAGGTCCAGTTTCTGGCAGAGAGTTTCTGGGCTCAGAGCTCCTGGAAGGTCCTGTTTGTTGGCCAGAATCACCAGGGGAACTCCTTTTAGACTGTGGCTCCTCAAGATCTAAAATGTAAAGGAGAGCGCACCATCATGACGTGAAATACAAAGTTTAAATAAATGACTCCGCCCCTGAAAGCTCTAGCTGTTAAGGAGCTTTTAGAAATTTAGAGAGAGTAACACAAAGAGCCAAAGAGTGACGGTCTTATCACATTTGTCTCATTTTATGTTGTGTTCTTCAATAATGTTTGTTTTGGATTTTTCTTTTTTCCTCCACAGATGCATGGCTGTCCTTTCATCAGAGAGCGGGACTAATGTGAGAGAACTAATTGTTTCAGAAAACATATTAATGCTTATTAGTAATTATTTAAATAATTAGTAAATAGAAATTAATTTAATTAATAAATCACTATTCTTTTCCGTACTGATTATTTAAAGGCCGGTCATTGTAGATGTAATCCTCAATGGATTTTAAATCCTGAAAAATATGTAAAATCTTACTTCTTTATTTGTGACTTCATTGAACGCATTAGTAAATAAAATAAAAAGTCACCCTTCAAACTAATTTCTGATTGATTATGAGACTGATTCATCTCTGTGCTTTAACATGGTTTAGAAAAGGATTCAGTGCTTCATCTCAAATATAGGATTTCACATTCAAAAACTAATATTTTCTCATTTTAGGTGTTAAGAGTCAAAACTTGTTGCATAAACAATAAATGAATGGTTAAAAATCCCCAGCGCTAATAACCTACTAAATAATTTCAATGTATTCACACATTAGTGAAATAATTAGGTGTTAAATGCCAAAAGTGAGCAGAGAAATGCTCACTGGTCCCAATTACCCGGTGCAGTTCCTTGCGGGCCTCGTCCAGCCGCTTCCCGTCCCGGCTGTCCACCACAAACACCAGCCCAGCTGTGTCCAGGAAGTGATGTTTCCAGTGGGGCCTCATCTTCCTCTGGCCCCCGACGTCCCACACCGTCAGTCCCGGGCTGCCCCTGTCCGTCTCCAGCATCTCCACGTTGAATCCCACGGTCGGAACCGTGGCGACGCTCTCGTTGTACTTGAGCTTGTAGAGCAGGGTGGTCTTCCCCGAGCCATCCAGGCCCAGCAGGAGGACCTGCACTTGTTTCTTTGGCTTGGATCCGTGGGTGCCCATGTCCGAAGCACGTGGTTTAAATGTATAGCTCCGCTGTCTGCACACTCAGTGAGTGAGGTCCAGTCTCTTATGAGGACCAGGTGATCCCTCCCCTCTGTTGGGATGCAACTGCGTTGCTTTCGGTAAAGCTATTTTTACCAGACGTGACGAAGCAGCTAAGCGGGACGGCATGCGGCGCTCCAGCCAGCACCTGTCCCAGGTCATCAAGCGCCAGAACACACAGGAAGTTGGTGCTTGAAACAAGGAGAAGATTGCATTGCTCCCAAAGTACTTACATCATTTATATTTTGGTCGCACTAACCGAGAGATGAATCTGGCAATGGCTGTATGTTTGTGGAAGTGGATCTTATAGAATTCTCCCGAGACTTTTATGGCGGAGATTCAATTATTGAGAAATCCAACGAATGTATGAATGAACTTCAGTACTTATGAATGATACGAAGAGGCATATTTATGTTAGGAAGCATCTGTGACGCGAGGCTTTTTAGCCAGTATGTATTTTGCTAAAAATCCAGACACCTGCTGTCTTTCATACCTTTTAGCACCTTGTCACATTTTGTCTCATTATAACGACAAACACAAGTTTGTTTTAGTGAAATTTCATGTGAAGTATAAACATAAAGAAGGGCATCATTGTGACTTGGATGAAAAATGGCACATGGTTTCTAAGAAAGGTCATGCGTGTTTGTGTTTTGGACGCTCTCAGTCAGTCAATGTTCTGTAGAATGATGTTTTACAGCCATTACAACGTTTAGGATCCATCGCTACTTTTCACCCATGTTTCTTTGTGAATCAGCTGAGGCAGAATCAGATTGTACACCGAGTATTTCACTGTTAATGTTCAAGTGTTGCTTAAGGCTCTCAGTTGGGTTTAGGTAGATATTCAAAGCTGAGGATATTGTTGTTTAACCTATCTCTGCTTTAAACATCTCCACAACTTTACCTCTGATTTGTTTGCTGTGTTCCTTGGACTTCTTGATGCTGTTTGTCCGCTAATGTTCTCCAACAATCCTCTGAGGCCTTCATCCAACTGAGGAGGACTCAGTCTACTGACCAGGTGAGTTCAGGGTCATCTGGTTAGTGGCAGAAAATTTTATTTAGGGGTATCAGAGCACACGTCAAATAAAAATCCCCCCAAAATACATGGAGAACTGCGGTTGTAATGTTACAAAATATGAAAAAGTTCAAAGTGCTTTTGCTATTCAAAGGAAAACAAAGTCTCAATTTAATTTGCAACAACTTTCATCAGCCTGTGCTTCATTACATTTTTAGATTTTATAACGATTGTATTTTCTTTTAATTTTTAAAATATTACATTGCTGTGCTTTGTTTTTAAAGCAGTTTAATTAGCAGCAGTCAGACTTACACCCCCACCACATTAATGCATGTCTGCTTTTCATTTCAATAGAGCACAAAGAAATAAAGGCGCCATGCCTTTTACGGTTAAAAAAAAACCCTGTAGTATAAGCAGTGCAATCATTCAATCTCTCGATAGTTTGAAAAGAGATTAAAAACCGCAAAAATTAAGTATTGTGCTTCAATGTGAAGTCTTACAGTATTTTTGCAAGTTAGCAAAATGAAACGTCTAGCACCTTCAGTTTAGACTTGTAAAAAATGCACACAGACTCGAAATCATCATATTTATATTTTTGTTATTTTATTGGAGCTTCCATTCCTTTTCCAAGATATAATGTACATTACAGTTTATAGTTTTTCGGGGTAGTTATTCACAACACTTTCCTAGGACTAATCATGTTTGTAATTTGAACTATAAATGATCTTCGTTTAAAAAAACTTGATAAAATGACAATCATTGCTTTAATTTCACCATTATGATTTACAGTGTAAATTAACATTGTGTGTGTTTTTGTTTTTACCGTTAATTAAAATCAAGAAAAACAAGTACAAATGCCACAGACATTCTGTTAGATACATTATTATCATTGTTATTATTAAGGAAAACACATGAACTTTCATATGTTTTTTTTTTAAATCTGCGTAGTAAACAGTGTTTGTGGGTGATATTAACACATTGACAGTATGTACATTCATCTTACAACTTTGCGTCTCCCAGAGACGTTCAATGCTCCAAGTTTGGATTTACAAGATATGACAACAAGGTCGAGCCGCGTGTGCAGCGCGATCGCCTGCTCAGAAACCATGAAACAATGAGACGAGCGCTTTTGGCAGCAGAACATAATAATAAGGCAACAGCAACACATCTTATTATCCAAAAATTTATATCATTTTAACTTGCTTAAAATTTGAATCTTTTTCTTAGTAAAAAGTGAAATTGTATCCCAAAAACATCCCATAGCAATAACCTCTCACAGCATAATCGCTATTTACTGTAGATGTAACAAAAATATGATGTGAAAATTAACCATCATGTCCATCTCCTATCCATGTCTTAACATTGATGAAGTTATCTGGTCAGATATATTTAGAATGATCAAATTTACAAATGTCTGGCTTTATTTAAATATATGTGACTCAGAAAACAAGGGAAATCTGTCTGGACAAATAATTAGCAGTCAGCAGTAATGAGAAGTACTACATTTCTAATTCACTGTGTACGAAGGACGACTGACTCAGAGACCTTTTGTTCCTCTCTGACATGCTGTGGTTGTTATTCCTCACGCAGATCTGAGCTGTGCTGAAGCAGCAGAGTTGATCAATATCAGTGTTAAAAGATGCGAACAAGAAAATCCATCAGAAACCTGGCACTAACCTGTCAATTCCATTGAAAACACTTTAACTTCCCTAAAGGGAGATCAAATGTTGTAACTCATATCATTCAAGTAAAGGGCTGCACAATATTGGAAAAAACTTACATTGCAATTTTTTCCAATCCTCTGATATATTTATGAAAAAATACGTGAGATTTCAACAGATGACCTCAAGCTTATAAGCTCAGCTTATAAGCTCATAAGACCTCAAGTTACACTGCAGTTTTCCCATCTTGTTGACAATTAACCTGACCTGATCTTACTTCTTTATGGGAATATTACAAATATGATTTTTGTCCGTTTTTGGGAGTTCATCTTTTTGTTAGATTTGCACTATATTAGAACATCTTGCACTGGTGAGAGTGTTGATAAATACTGCGATGACAAATATCAATTGCCATATATACCTAATTTTGATGCGTAAACGATTTCACGCAAAAGATTTCTCATCTGTGCTTCCATCACTGTGAGCGCTAGCATTCAGGTAACATCATTAGCCTCCGATGTGAACATTTATAACACTGAATAATGTATCAGTCAACAATTACTGCGTTCCAAACACTCCTTTGCGATGTGAATATTGTACACATTCATATTGCAATGGTGGTATGTTTGCTATAAATTGTGAAGCCCTATGCAAGTATCTCCAAAGAGCTGTGGTGGATCGTGATGCTGTGGGCAGGCAGGATCTCCGGTAGCAGTCAGTCTTGCAACAAATCTGACGAGGCCTCTGACTGAAGTTTGTTGCTGTATGAGAGTCTGACAACTCTATGACAACGAACAGCTCAATTTCCAGACAGGAGAAATTATATTCTACAGTAACATGTCTTTTATGACGCAATTAGTTGCGAGCAAGCATTGCAGCATGATTAGAAAGGCAGGCAGAGACATGTTGGAGTAGGGGATATGATCTTTGCCTAATAAGATTGAGGGAAGAGATGGTTTGAACTTCCCCCTTCTCTCTCTGCCTGAAGTCTCCTTTTTCAACTCCTCAGGGAATTGAAACTCTAAGATGCTAATCAGCGGCTTCCAGTTGTTAAAGCAGCACCTAGTTGCCTCAGTTACGCATCAAAACTGTTCAAAAGTAAAATGGAGCAGAAATCCTCCCAGCTGCACAGCATCCAAAATAAAAAAGAATATTTGTCCAAACACGAAGTGCCTCAACCAAAACCATTATAAAAAGACGTGATAAAAAGAGAAAAATCTGAAATGGCTACTCCAACACGCTGCCATCGCCACTCTAGAAAATCGGTCTGAAGAAGCATGACAAAAAAGACTTTCGTGTTTTTGTTTAACACTAAGAGAAATCTGCTGGAATTTCTTCTTAAAAATTCTCTTTTAAAAAAAAACAAATCCATCTCAAAATTCTCAGCTATACGAAACATAATCTATTAATTCGCGAAACAGCAACCCTGCTCATATCAGCGTACGATAGATAATGCCTACCCTAAAATCAACCAGGCTGTGATTAAAAAAAAAAAAGATGATGGGGGATGCTGATGTGAGGTTTGAAGAGCAAAGTGCTGTAAATATCTGTGGCAAATAGTTCTCACTCAGTTGCCTCCCAACTGATGCCCTTCGCTTAATTCCTTACTTTTTTTCACCCGTCTTGCCTTTAAACTTGACCACCATGACGGTGATGTTGTCGGGGCAGCCGCGGTAGAAGGACTGCAGGACGATGCTCTTGGCTCCAAAGTGCGGCTCGTCCAGTCGCTCCCTGATGAAGCGGACCGCCTCCTCGTTGCTGAAGGTGTCCCACAGGCCGTCCGAGGCCAGGATCATGAACTCCGGCTGCAGCTTGTTGAGGTCAAAAGACATGATGTCGGGGTCGGGGACGATCACATTGAGGTTTTTCAGCGGGTAGTCGCCCAGAGAGCGGGACATGGCGAGGATGCCCTGGACGCGCCACGAACCGTTGAAGCTGATGAAACCACCTGCGGAGGACCCAGCAAAAAAAAAAAAAAAACTGTACAGTTTAGAGTGTCGGGGTGATTGAGAGAAAAGTGAAGAAGAGGAGCACAAAGATCTTGTTGGTAGATTGGTTCTCTAATCCTGGAAATGATCTTCAGGTGACAGAAGGCTGACTTTGTAAGTGTCTTTATATTGCTCTGAAGGTTCAGGTCAGAGTTCATCCACATCAAGATTTCAGACCGGATCTCTGGTTTCTAGCTGTAATTTCTGAAGCTGCACGCTGACTCTTGATCGTTCCTCTTTAAGTACAAACATAATACCTGCTTTGACTGTCAGAAGTGTTTGCGTTGGATATGTTTCAGTTCATGTCATGTCCTGGTAAAACGGCTGGACCTCATCTATAGCTTTGGGATCTGAAAAAAGGGAGCTGCTCTAAAAATAAGCACATAAGATGGATATTTTCAAACTTGGTCATATAACCGTCTTTATTCCTGACAGCAAGAGATTCGGAAAATACCCATCTGAATACAAAATTCCCTTATTCTAATAATAAAATTCCTCTTTAGGACAGACAAGTAAAATGTTATTATGTTTATACGCTAGAATATTAAAGTTCCGCCCATCTTTTTTTATTTTCACCTTCATTACTTTAATAATTAATGTTAAAATCTGAATCAATAGCCGAATGATCTCCTCAGTATGCAGTCAAGTTCTCCAGAGTCCTCCTGCTGACCTGATTATTTGACTCAGGTGTGTTGAAACAGAGACGCATCTAAAATTAACAGGCCCAAATTGGAAGACCCCCAGTTTCACCTTTCTGTAGTATTCGAAACAGCACTTCCCTTTCTTCATAAATTTGTTGGTGGGAATTTATTCTGGAGTGAGGTTTGCACAGGATCATTTAGCAGCAGAGCCTGATGTTTTTACAGTGCACAACTCAAACATTAGATGGAGCTGTTGAGCTTTACCAAATCAATCTGACAATCTGTAACAAGCTTCCAGACATGCCTTCATACACCAGAAATAATATTTACCTGGATCATGATCAGTATTTGACATGAATAACTATATATTTATGCTATTTTCCTTTTATTTTCAGCAAATAAACTCGTCTCCGTCATGTTCAAGCTTTCTCACCGGCCTTCTTGATCCTCTTGCGTTCCTTGAGCTGGTAAGGTTTGTGGTCATGTGACAGAGGAATGGCATTGCCGTCTTTATCGCACAGAACCCCCCGGGAGTCTCCAACGTTAGCCACTATCAACTCCTTATCAGACAGCAGAGCCACCAGACATGTAGTGCCTGCAGCGAAGGAAGAAACGGGAAAACACAGAGGAGGATGAGAATATCGCAATTTATTTTCTCTGAAAATATTACATGCTCGGGAAAATGCCAGAAGATCATAGTCGGGAGCGTGTAAGACTTGTCCTCAGGGTAGGAAATATGTCTGCAAAATTTTCCAACCTGTCCATCAAACTGTTGCTGAGAGATTTCAATTTTGGCAAAGTGAAGCTGAGAAACTGACATGGCATTAATACCACAGTGTGGATTTTGTTAAACCTATTCGGGGATGGATCGTTTTACCCTGAAGATTAGGGAAAGCCCAGGAAACATTTAACTGAAGAATAATAATCACCGGCTGTTTAATTGTAAGATCATCTAGCTTACCGGTGGCTCACTTATTTAAAGCAAACTTTTTTAAAACAAAATTTTAAGGCCATCATTTTAAATACATGAGTTTTAAGACCCCTGTCTATGTGAAACAAATATAATAACCAGAGTCAGATAAAACTGGAAAACAAGCCGGAAAAATCAAGCTACTAATGGAGCACATGAAAGAATGGAAGAACAAGTTAAGAGGTGGTCAAGTAACGCCTCCATCTTACACAAGACCAAAATACTTCTGTTTCTCCTTCCTCTCTTTGTTTAGCTTCCCAGCGAAGCAGAGTCTGAGTGTAGGCTCAGAATCTGAGGGCTGCTGTATTAGATCCAAAGTCCAGTAGGAGCCCGTTTGGCCATGTGCTCACACTCTGACAGAAGGCAAAGCTGGAGAGTGGGCGAGGGGTGAAAAGAACAAGAGATGAAAGTCGGGGTTCCCGACACATGGGGCTGGACCACCCAGACAGAGAAAGATGGGGAGAATGAAAACAAACAGCAGCAGTCACACCCAGGATCTGAACTAAATGCAGGAGGAAGAAAATATTCCAACAATTCAAAGGGGCGGTATTATGTATTTTCCAGGCACATGGTGCCATTTTACAGAGCAATCAAGTCACTATGTAATCTTTTTGTGATAAAAAGGTTTTATATATCATATATGACTTAAAAGAAATTTAACTTAATAATTTATCGCCTTGAAATAGGGCTTTTGTACCTTTAAAAACTATAGCGTTTTCTGAAGCTTCAAGAAGTCATTACAATATGGCTTCGCTATTAACCGTTTAAAAACATTTTTACCAGCATTTCAGGGAAAAGCTCATAATTGGCAGTTTTACCAAATGTTTGCCAATTCCTGCTGGCTAGTCTGAAGTAACCGAGTAGTTGAAGTGAAAACTCAGAAATCTGAGGAGGAGCTGCATGCATGAAAGAATTAAGGTAACACTCCAGGTATGTTTTTGATAAGGGAATAACATTAGAACATGATGTAAAACTCAACAAAATTGATTTTACATAATACTGTCCCTTTAAGAAGTGAACATCTTTGTTTATCATCTTTGTCTATCACATAAAATCCCTGTAAAATAAATCAAAGATTGGTGTTCTAATGTGGTAAAATGGGGACATTTTAAGATTTAGCTCCTTGTGTTACAATCTACATTCTGAGAGTCAGTTGACCTGAAGCTGAAAGCGACGAGATGAGATAACAGACAGCAGAGGATACAGATAAAACCTACTTACAGAGCCCAGGAAGAGAGGACGGCTGCTTAAGTGGCATTTCTTTAAAGAAAAAGGAAGGAAATCTGTGATGATTATGTTATTCAACTTAGATTCAAGTGAGTAGAATGCGATAAATTAAAAGAAAAAAAAAAAAAGCACAGATAAAACAGTGACAAGGAAGCCAAGAGGAAAATCACACTGACTGACGGAGATGCTGACTTGCTGAATATTGATGCTCCTTTTAGGTTCATCATCGTATGCATCCTTAAACCTGCTGCAGTGACTTACAGCTGAAGCAGCATGGTGCTTTGCTGTCCAGCTAATTAGCCTTATCTAGTTCCCATGGTGATAGAGATAATAGACTGAGGTGCTTTGTGAGCACACCCTTCCCCAATTAGCTCAGCCATGCCCAGCATACATTGAAAATTCCCCTATTAGAATGGCACCAAGGTCCCCGTGTACCCAGTACTCATGTCAATAATTAGCTTAGCTTGGACAGGAAAACCCTCAGCACTCCAGCCAGATTAACATCTCCTCAACAGTTAGGCTTTCACTGTGGCCATTTATTTGGAGTTGACCGTCTCTGACAGGCTGCTCCGTTTATGTTCTGCTAATGGGCTGGAAAAATAAGAAGTGATGACCTAAAAAACTGCAACTCACTTTCAAAGGTTAAAAAAATAAATCTTTCACCAATTTAGAGTAAGGTTTTGCTTTATGTAGAATCAGAATCAATCTCAACTTTATTGGCACACAACTTTACTCTCGTGTTACTACGACTGTATTCTTGCAATATTCTGACTTTATTCCAGTAATTAAAATAAAAGGAAAACATTTTAAGTTTGACTCGTGTTTCATCTGAATTCAAAGTCCATATTAAATAGAAGATGTAAAACATGCATGTCAAACAAGATGGGGGGCCTTGGGAATGCTGACATCACTCTGAACTATGGACACCCGTTAGTAAGGACAAAAGTAATCTTCAAAAACAAAAAATGCAATTGAATTTCTAAAATCAACCTGTAGCCCCAACCCTATATCAATGTGTTGCACTCCTAAATGACTTCATCTCATGGTTACGGTGCTGTCTGAAACGGTGGTAATAAAGGAAACGTGGGTCAACGTTAATGCAATAATTAATTTGTCTGTTTCTTAAACTAATGAACAGGAGCAACTTGTCCTTCCAGGCATTGTGTTAAACACCTGTATGCTCCAGAGAGCAGCAAATTGTCCTGTTTTACATGGTTAATAAAAACCTGCTGGAGGTTATTTAGTTAAGTGAAGCCAGATGCAACGTTCCCATTTTGTCTGCCAGTTGGTTGCTGCCGTCAAGAGACGAGGTCCGAACTGATTAAAAAAAATGTTTAACCTTTCTATTCCTTCCCTCTCATGCATCACCTTCAATACCATCATGACGAAAGCCATAAAAGAGCTAAAAACATTTAGCGAAGAAGAAATACAAAGATTTTCTTTAAAAATGTGATAAAACCTCCATCAAACGATGTGCACTTTAGGACGAGCTCTGAAGCAAACATATGCACAGATCAGAGAACAAATAGAATAATTTCCTGCCTCGGAAAAAAAAGAGAAGCTCAAGTGTGAAGCACTGAAGTGTTTGAACAAACACTCTAAGGAGAAAGTAATTTATTCTGTTTTTATGCAATCAGAGAACACTGGAATCAAAACACAAAGAGGAAAATCGCTCTTGGTGTAAATTGTACCAACGATCGTCAGATACGTATGATTTTTGGAGAAAATAGACTCAAAGGTAGAGAGAAAAAACAAGCCCCACTTAAAGGTCAGTTTATCAATGTTTTTGGTGGTCAGGACATGGACAAGACAACACTCTGCTTTGTACATCGCAATGCACTGAACAACCTGTTGCTATGATATTCTTTATTTTGGTTATCAGGCAACAGACGTACAAACTTTATTTAGGACCATCAGAGTAAAGAGGAAACATAAAACCTTGATAACAGACATAGGAGACTTCATTGAGGGTTGTAAGTCTGATGGCGTGACTCTGAAAGAGAAACACTATTAATGTGCATCAGAAAGGGAAAACAAAATAGGGAACTCCCTTTGCAAACCCACAAACAATGCTACCTAATATGTAAATTAACAACTTTTAGAATGTTTTTTTATTCACTATTCAATAATTATTACATCCATAAAACATAAATGCTGCTTCATACCTTCTGATTTTAGATGGCCAGGAGTTTTGTGATGAATAATTTTACTATCAGAAAAGATTTTGACGTCTTTACCAGATAATACTATTTTTCTTCCCAATCCAATCTTTTTATAACAAGAAAATGTGTAATATTTTATATTAATCACATTGAATTTCCTTCTGTTCCCACGGTTCTTATGTTTTTTTTAGCAGCAGTGACCTTCACTGTGGGGTTGCTGTATGGTTCATTTAGTCTTTTCCTTTTCAGAATTGTTTTCAGTTTCTTGCTTGCTATGCTAGTTTGAGGAGCAAAGCATTTTGATTTATATACCAATCAGAACATTAAAAATAACATTTGAATATATTATTTTGACCTATATGCTATGTAAAAAAGGACAGAGGACAGAGAGTCTTTGCCAAGAAGTTTCAACTGGAGAAAAATGGAGTAACAGTAATGCTAGCGATCTCCAGACTGCTGTGGCTTTGCACGTTTTAATTGTCTTCATTGGATCATATGACTCTTCATTTTGAGGATATGAAAGCTCAATGGCTCTTTCATACAAGCGGCCCCTTTCACTGACTTATCAGCAGTTTTCAATAAGCTACACACTACCGTTCATCCAACTGTTAATGTTCACATTTTTTTCATGCTAATATCCTAAGAGACATTCCAGTTTGCTCCAAGTTTAGCTGATTTTAAACGTTCAGTTCTGCTGTTTATATTAATCAACGCATGTACAGAAGTTATTAACCAGCGGACGTGCTCCTTCTGGAGCATTTAATCTTTTTTCATCTCAGGACATTTGCAAATATTCACTGTTTCCCACACAAGCCTGAGCCGGTTCTGGTGTTACACAGAACCAATATTCTGGGTAACACCAGAATATTGGTGTTACCCATAACACCAGTGGGTGCCCCTGCCTCCCCCCGGAGGCACCGAGGTAACACCAGAATATTGGTGTTACCCCGGTGCCTCCGGGGGGAGGCAGGGGCACCCACTGGTGGGTGCCCCTGCCTCCCCCCGGAGGCACCGAGGTAACACCAGAATATTGGTGTTACCCCGGTGCCTCCGGGGGGAGGCAGGGGCACCCACCAGTGGCCCACTGTATTTCTGTGTATTGACAGGAAGGTGATTCTGTGTTATTACATTACAGACATTACTTAAACACCAACTATAATCTTAAAAAGGCAAACACAACAATATTCAGTGAAACACAATTTAAATAAATAACTTAAATCAGTCGAATCCTAAAGACTGGCAGCCTGCCAGTCTTATAATACACTGGAGAAAGCCGCGAATATTCTTCTCACTTTATTTTGACTTCTGTAATGTGGTCATTTTCCATGGTACTGTATTAGACTTAACAGCACAATGCTCGCCTCCACACATATACCCCTCCATTTGACACGTCTCTCTCTCTTTCTCTCTCCTCCTTCTACACATCCATCCCTTCAGAGATAATTACTACAAGCTTTGTGAAGATCAACTTTTATTCAAACAGCTGAATAAGCTAGACCCCAGGCTGCTGACAGTCACTATTCAACTCCTGTCAAGTGAAACACTAAAGTAGCACATACTGCTTTAAATGCAGCATTACGAGAGACGCTAAAAGATTGGTTATTTCTTTCTTATTGCATCTGCTTTCGCGAACAGCACACATGGCTTGAATCCATCCTAATTTGCTTCAGTTTTATCGTCTCATCTCCAGGTGAATGTACTTTTCGCACACATTTAAATCACTGAGTGTTAATGAGCCAATGTATAACTCAGATTCAGACCTGCTTCGTTGTAGTTGGCAGAGAGCTTGTCCAGCATTTCTCTGTCTAACGTCAGTATCTGCTGCTCCAGGATGGACGGATAGGAGGAGCCTCCTTTCTCCTTTTTTTCGTCCTTGTCTTTTTCTCGGTCTCGATCTCTCTCTCGTTCGTAGGTCAGTAGCTGCTGGCGCAGAGCCTCCGCCAGGTGGGTCTTGGCGAACTCGGCAGCAGCCTGAAAACGTGAGACCACAGAGGAGAAATTAAATGGCTGCAGATAAAAATTAGGTTGCTTAATAGCAACAAAAAAAAAAAAGCACAGTAGGAGGTACAGTTCAGACATTTGCAAATATTTGCGGTTTCCCACATGAGTCTGAGCCGATATTGTTATGTCAACATTTCCAACTAATTCTTACATTTTTGAGCCCTGCCAATGCTGATGCCAAAGCTAAACTTTGGATGTAGCTCTCAGAAATTATAGCACTGCAGAAATTTTATGAAAATGTTCAAATTTGATTATGACAGTCCACATTTTTCTTCCTTTTGTTTCCTTCTACCGTTAAACAACATCACCACTAATTTCTATGCTCTTTATCACCCTCTAAAGCTGAATTCCAGCTGCGGGCGCCAGTTAGAGACCTTTGCTTTTCCGATATTGCACAGACTCATACTGCGAAGACAAACTACGATTCAGCACATTATGTGGTTGTGGTTGCATGTTTTCCCTGTGTGTGTCAATTTAAGTTTACTTGTAGAGCACATTTCAGCAACAAGGCAGTTCAAAGTGCTTTACACCATAAAAACAAAGCACAGTAATGAACACAGTTATGAAACACGAAATTAACATTACATTTTGTCAAATGCAATAATCAAAATCAAAGAGCAAATGTACATCAAATATTTTGATGTACATAAATACCAGACATTATTAATATTCCAGTAATTAATTAAAGGCAACACATTTTCTGGAAGTTTGTTTCAGGATAAAAAAAAGAAAGACCTGCTGAAGTAAATACTAAACATTTATCACTGTTTTGGTGAAATACTGTGTCAGATAATTGTTACGAGAGTAGAAATCAAAATCAGATGTCAAAAACACAAACATTTGTGAATGTTGCCACTGTTTTACTAGAATTAAGTAGCACACACAAACATGTAATCTTTTCTTCAATTTGGAGAATTTTTCTCCTTGGTCAACATTAAGGTGATGCAAACACAAGTCAGATTTGTAGAAAAACACCAGTTGCTTAACACTTAAAACGTGAAATATGTCCTCACTTCCTAAAAAAATGAATCATTAAAAATCTGCAAGTGTAGAAGCATTTATTGCCCTTTATGAAGATTTAGGATGGAAACCAGGACAAAAAACAATAATGACAGAATTCCTAGAAGCTCATTAACTTTTCTGCATCTTTGTTCAGGGGAACACAGACGCTGTTTTTGTATTTGTAAAAAAACATAGAAATACAAATGTATGCACAGTCTGCAGAAAGCTGGTTTAACAGCAGTAACCTTGATGTCCTTTCTGCCTCACCGCAGCATATAAACAGAGATAAAGAAAGAAATAATCATTCCAGTCAAACACACACACACACACACACACACACACACACACACACACACACACACACACACACACACACACACACACACACACACACACACACACACCCACACACACACACACACACACAACAGGCTCACGCTGTGGGATACAGCTGAGCTAGAGAAACCGTATCCTCACCTCTGCCCATTTTTTTTGCCAAGGATAACACCGAGGGAACCTTTTCTCACACACCCCCTTTGCATTTTGAGAGCACAAGGTCACAGTGCACGAATGTGAGATAATACACTGCAAACAAGCCTCTGATCTATATCATCCAAAACTTATAGAGCTCATATTTCACACCGAGAGAAGTCAAACACCTGGAGGAAAGAGAAAGCAAAAGGGGATGAGAAAAAGCAGTGAAGTATGCAGTTTCCATGCAATGAGCAGAACAATTTTAGGTCATTTGAGAGAAAACTGCAGATAATCCCAAAGTTACAAGCTTGAACACTGTCCTCATTTAGCTTCGTCTCCAATCTAGACCTCCCTCTGCACTTTTTTCTGCTTTCATGGACTTAAATATCCCTGCCTACTTTGCTTTTTCTTACATATGCAAACAATTTATCTACCCTCTCATTATATCTTGTCAGCACTTGCGATATTTTTTCTGTGCACACCATCAGTCTCCCTCTATCTTGCCTAATTTTTCATTTCCTACAGTCCCGTCAGTCTCCTTCCATGGTGAGGCTCAGCCTAAAATCCCCACGGATCTTTTCCTTGTGCTTTTCTGACTCCATTTGAAGAACAATGAGTTGACATACTTTTCTGCTGTTGCTACCAAGCAGGAAACTGCATTCAACAAACTGGGTTCAGAGGTCAGAAATGAAGTCTTGTTTGCGTCTTGTTTTATTTTCCCAATTACCAAGAACTATGACTGCTTACTTCCAGAGTGGAAGTTCAGATCTAAAACGCAATTTTCTACTCAATTTATTAAAGGACAAGGTCATGTAATCATACTTGACCTTATACAAACAAGTTATTGCCTTCTCAAGCTAATGAATGCCACAAACTACCATCAATAGTTTTTAGTCTGTTAATTAACTTTACTGCTGTTGAGCAATACTGGCCCACTCTTACTGGAGTTTTGATCCTGAACTTCCCTCATTTAGGGTCATGCCACAGCTTCTCAATCAGACTCAAGTCTACACTCTGAAACCTTCAACCTTCTAGTGATTCAGGGTGCATTCACACCAACCACTCTTGTTCGTTTGCCTAGAAAGTCCGGGTTGTTTGGGGAAGTATGAATCCACAATCAAACTTTGATGTGGACCAAAAAAGTGAAAAAGACTCTAGTCTGCATAAAAAACAAGATTTGCGTTTGGTCGAAGTATCTAAAGCACAGGGGTTTATGGGTAAATGGAACCTAAACAAATGATCAAAGGTAGCAGGAGTAATGGCTTGTGGTATTTTACCAAAGACAGAAGGAAATCCTGAAACCACTAAAAAAAAAAAATCTGACATCACTCCATTTCTGTTTACATTTCATATAGAATGAAGTTGGGCTCAAAGGTTTTGTGTCTTTAACTTCAGTGGCTCTTGGTGCAGCGCCACCACGGCCAAGGGGGTGTCTCAAAGGTTTGTCTGTCATTAAAACTTGTTTAATGACTGGAAACGTTTGAGTCTTGTAAAAAAAAAAACAACAACAACAACTTAAAAAAACAACAACTAAGTGTCACTCTACATTCCTCTGACCTATTTTACAGAGGATCAATGTAGGTCTCAAACAGAAGTGAAGTCAAGGCCTGAATATCTGACCGCATAGCCTGCTGGCTAACTAGACCGGCACATCTGATACCAGATTAGATGATGAAAGGTGGATGAGGGAGGGAGAGCATGGATGGATGGAGATGAGAACTGAAACAGAGAGATGAGGACTGGGATCAAGAGTGGTAAAAACACAGGGGAACAAAACGTGGCAGTAGATTAGGAAAAGGCACGAGAGCACTGTGAAGAAATGTAGAGCACGAGAGGGTAGAGTCAGAGGAAATGTGATGAACAGGGCGAGCAAAGCTGACTGTCAGGAGGCAGGTATTATAGTCGAGCAGCAGAGAAAAAAAAAACGCTTTGCATCAAATTACTGATACAATCAGCAAAAGATATTGAAAAATGAATGTGCGCTTATGTGGAAGCCTTCACTCTGAAATGGCAGACATGAAGAATGTTGATAGAAACACTGGCGGTGCACCAAATGCAGATAAAGAAGAGCAACACGAGGATAAACAATCCACATTTTATTTTCTGTAGACAGAATCATAAACTTTTCTGAGATTCAAATCCTAATTGCTTTGAACCAAAGACATTGGAAAAAAAAGAATCAATGACTAATCAGGGTTTGGTTCCCATCTCCAAGGCTGATGCACATGAGCTTCACACTAAAACAAGATATTTCAAATGTTTTTAGCTTAGCCCCAAACTGGAAGCTATGAATTGAACCCCAAGTACATATTTGTGTCTACAAGCTTAAAAACCTCATCTAAATGATATATTTTTTATCCATTAAGTGGCCTTCATCAATGTTTTCTTAAAGTACCTAAAGATCCTTCTCGTCTTTCTTATGACGGTTTCATTTTTGCAACCAGGAACCCAAAATGTTGCCACGACTTTGACATAAAAGAGTGGAAGGAGAGTCTCCCATTCAGATTTAGCCATAAATCACAACACAGACTTCTTCTGTACAAGTCACACTGTGATATTTCATCATCTTGTGGTAATCCTTTTATGTTATTTTTAATTTATTTTACTGCTGGGACTTTTTAGACCACAACAGCATATCTTTTAAAGACATGCTGTCCAAACCAGGACAGCCCAGCATTTTCTTCACAAAAACAAAACTTTTATCTTCTCTGTTCAGTCAAAGGAAGAGAAAGTGAGCAGTAACACTTTATAATCAACCATCTGCACATGAGGAGAATGAGCTTTATGCTGCCATGGAGGTATTGTCTCACTTCTCTCTGGTGGAGATATTATTTTATGTGCACAGCTAAAAATATCAGCACAGCCACAGAATTTAACTGTTTTATTTTGATTGTTTATTACTCATTAATATGCGTCCCAGCTCCACACAGACCTGCTTCCTCATTCAAGACACTCAAGACATCACCTGAATCGCGTAAAAAACCTGTAAGCAGAATCAAAACACACACAATACTTTCTGCTGTAACCTTTTCTCTTTCCATAATCTATCATGTTGCCAGACACGCTCGTCTTGTCAACATGGACCTGCATCTGTATGAGACAATTCAACAGAAGTAGCCAGGCTTTCAAGACATTTCTATTCATCATTTTGCCAGGCCAGCAGAAATGCAGAAAACCATTTTCTCTTCAGCGTCAGAAGAAATTTCCTCCTGCCCTTCATACGCTGCGCTGGAGTGAAGACTTTCTTTGGCAGACTATTTTCTGACAGATCAGGAAAAAAGGACAAAAAAAATGGGAAGAGTCTGAGAGGAGAATAAAGGGCTTTCATTAGAAACATTCAAGCAGTTCATCAAAAGAAAATATACTACTTAATTTTTTAGATAAGTTAAAGACGAACTGAAAGCGAAAAAGTACAGAGAAAATTTGATGGACACTAATGAGCCTGACGAAATAGCCACATAGTTCTTGGTTTTTTTGTTGAATTTCCAGCTTTC